GCAGGGCACTCATGGCTCCGCCCCTGGCCTGGACCTTTGCTCCCAGTCCTAATGGCACTGGCCTTGGTTACCATGGCTGCATTTAGTTTGGGATAAACAAAGCTCTTCCTCCTCCTGTCCAGTTTACTGACACCCAACTGTCTCCCCAGGGAATGGGCTGGAATTTTAAGTGTCTACTCACTCCCTAAGGGAGGCCCAAGGACGATGAGTCACTGGATTTTGGCCCCTTTCGGCCCCCTCACTGTTCTCTGGCTTTCTCTGCGGTTTCCTCCCGCCTGCCTCTGTCCAGCAGGAGTTGGGGAGGGGTGGAGGCTGGCTCTGGGACTCACCTGGGGTTATCAAATTGTGGCTGGGTGGAAGGGAGAAACCTTCCTGTCCTATTTCCTGGGGCCAACAGCAATCCTCTGGATCTTGGAAGAGAGTAACATGTTTTTTTCTTCCTTTATCTCCTGCATCCTTGGGGTCCAGGGTGAGGGAGAGGAAAAGATAGGAATGCTGGGGAGAAGAGATAGAGATCAGAGTAGAAAAAAGGACTCATCTGATTAGAATTGACTTTGCAAAACTTTTCACTCATTCATTTATTGAATCAAAGAAGTTCTTGAACTTGGGCGCTGAGGGAAGAAGGAACACTGTTAAAGACATGACCCTGCCTTTGAAGAAGCTGCCTTCATACTGGAGGGCCTTGGACTCAGAATCTGGTGCCCTGCTTTGAATCCTGATCCACACTAGTTACTCCTCTGAGCCTTGGTCTCCTTACCTGTACATAAGGATAATACTACTGAACTCTTAAGGCCATTGTGAGGGTCAAATATGAAAGAATGTCTCATTAACAGTCTCCAGGCTCAATATATGGATCAGGTTTACAGAAAGGGAGGGGAGCTCGGACAAGCCCACAGGAAAGTGGAACCCAGCCCAGGGGTGTGACAAAGGCCAGTTCTTAGGGTCTCTGTGGGAGCGGTCACTTACTGCAGAAATGACTGGGGCAGGATTCATGGGGGAGGTGCCTGCTGTGTGACTTTCATTCAGTAAATGTTTGAAGACTGAATGAGGTGTGCTGGAGCCAGGGCCCAAGGGAGGGATAAGGTTTCAGCAGGCACAGGTGAGGAGGAGGTGCCACCAGAGGGAAGGACATAGCTCCAGGGGAGGGGGAGGGCAGCTGGTGCCAGGTGGGGAAGACTCAGCCTCAGCCGACAGATGAGAAATCTGACCTTTATTCAGAAGGGACGGGAAGCTTGTTGCTGGGGAATGGCAGGATCAAAGCAGCATTTGTAGAAGATCTGCCTGGCTGGGCATGAGGCAGGAGAGGACATCTTGGAGCAAATGGGGGAGGTGAGGGAGGAAAGGGATACACAGGCCAGCAGGGAGAGTGTGTACGTGTCTGGAAGGTGCAAGGCAGGTGATGATGTCATCCCTGCCCCTGCAGGGGGGCTGCTTCACATTAGCAAGCTCTAGGGTAGGTGCCAGGTTTCACCTGCCTGTGAGGAGGAACAGGCCTCTTGGCAGAGGTGTGGGGAATTTCTAAGGGACACAGAGACCAAGGGAACAGTGCCTTCTTTTTCTCTTTCCTCTCCAGCCAGGGCCCAGCTCAGAGTAAAGGGGTGGGTGCAGAGA